CCCGTGTGGGGCTGCGGCGTTGCTGGAGCCGGCGAGCTGGCGTGTGGGACTGTTGGCTGCTGACGGTGTCTTCTCGGCGTAACTTGGGTTGTGTTTCTTTGCATGTAAAGTGACACATCAACAATAAACTTCCTACTAAAAGTAATAAACCCAACATGCAGTGGACTTTAAAAGAGGCTGTAAGTGAATTTGCTTTTTTGGGAGAAGGCTGCTTGTGTTGAGTACCTGCTGTGTGCTTGCTTTATGTATCTTTTTTTCCCGCCTTTTTGACAGTTGCTTGTGGCCTCTCGGGGAACAGTTGAGCTTTCCCTGTCTGGTGACTCAGGTTGGGGCAACTTGTTGGAGCAGGCAGGTGTTGAGTCTTGAGGTTTTGTGAGACTCTGAAATCTCATCTGTTTCTTAAGCGTACTTAAAAGATCTAACGTTGTTTGTCAGTGTAATTGGCACAGGTGCATTTCCCAGATACTTGTGCTAGCTACACGAAAGTGATTTACTTGAGAAACCTTTTAAGTAGGTGTCCCCACATCTTGTGTGCATTCTTAACTCTATCTGCCTGCTCTTCCATGACAGACGTAAGCTAACTATCAAACCTGATACAAGTTAATATAAAGCTAATTGTAACTCATTTACTTGAGGGTATCACTATGCCCTAATTTCCTCACTGTTATGTTTTACTGTAATTCGTGCCCTTCATAATGGTGGTAGAGAAATGTCATCAGAGGTAGCTTTTTCAGGGAGAGTGTTTAATTGTTGTAAGCTATGGAATTATCTTAAATCTTATAAAACCTCTGAAACATTTCATGGAAAAACCAAAAAGATTGTTGGTGAGTCATTCCACTGTATGTGTTTCCTGTCAAGAAGTATAAATTAAAACCGGAATGGGGAATATTGCTATCAGAAGTGCTGAAAACATGAACTTGTACAGTCAAGCTTTGATTTACTTTTTTTTAATGGGTCTGCATTGAAGACTTGAAGCTCGAAAAACGTAGGAGAATTCCCTCCTTCCTGCCCTGACAGAATACTCCTAGGTAGAATGTGCTTATTACCACAACGGACTTACCTGCTTTTTACAGTTTAGGTTTCTTCTCATGACTAAAATCTTGCAATATTGACTCAGTGTTAAAATAATTAGCTCTGGGATTTTGAAAGGCAGTACTTCCCTTCGGGATCTGGCTGCATGGTGCCTTCACAAGGAGGCCTCGTAACTGAGGGAAGGCAGAAGCAAGCATTCATACGAGGCCTTAAAATTATGTCAGTCTAGAACTGGTGTATTTTTAGGGACCACTGCTTGTAGTTGGTACCTAGGTATTGGTACTACCATAGAATAAAGAATCGGAGGCAAGAAAATACAGAAATCTAATACTCTGCCTTAAGGCAGGGCGGAGATGTGACTGGTCAATAATAGGATTTTAAAGTAATGCTAGTTTGACTTTTCTGTTAGTGTCTTGAAAAGTTTATATATAAAGAATGAGTATGTGGGCTTCTGGATTAGCGAGGAGATTGCAACTGTTATGAGAAAGGTTAACCTGGGAGTGGGCATTGAAATCCTGTTCCTGTTGAGAGTACCTGATGTTATACAAGTTGTGTCTGTGGGTGACACTTGGTGAGAACCTAGCATTGCAAGAGGTGCCCCTGGCTTTGACAGCTGTGTTATCACGGGAGTTCTTGATGGCTAAATAAATCGAGATCTGACTGCCTTTTGTGTTTTGCTAAATGATCTTGAACTATCAGTGCATTTGTCTTTGGAGTTGAACCACTGATGGTAATGTGTAGGCTGGATTGCAGTGCATAATGTTTGCTCTCTTGAAGATCCTGTCTGTAAGACCCTGCATAAAATGCTCATGATGGTTATCGTGTTTGCCTGTGCTAGCAGTTTCTGTGGCTGCTTGCTGTCTTTGTAGAGTTGAACCAAGGACAGCAATGGCCATAGATTTCCCTTTATTTTGAGCGAAGTGCTTCCCAAATGGAGGCAGGGCGAAGGAAGCAGTCCTATGGCATTAAAATGCGCTAACCCTTGAGTTGGAAACGGCCTTGGAGTGGTGGTCTTCACGGAGACCAGCCTGTAGAGTGGTTTGGGTGGGGCTGCATTAAGGCTAAAGCTGAGGCATGGAGAGCTGCCTGATTGATGTGTGCGCTGAGGATACAGCTGTGGATCCCGTTTTACACTAACATTAAACTCCCACATTTCTCCTTCAACCCGTTGTTAAATGTGGGATACAATGGTGTTACTATTGGAAATTTTTGTTGCACTTATGTAGAGTGTTTGTGAAAAGAAGAGATGCTTGTATGTTATTTACTCATTCATGACAAAATATTCATACATATATATGTATACAGGATTTAACTGTCTTGTTTGGGGAATTTATTAGCAGTATTTATACAACTATAAAATTTCTTAACTTGTTCTATGTACTTGTAAGTATCTGTAAAAGTATATTTCTTTAAGACAAAGAAAAAAAATCTTTTTTGTTTGGGGTTGCACAGCACTTAGGTTAATGAAACCTGGATGGTTAAACCATGAAGTTCATTGTCCGGGGTGATGTGCGTGCCAGTGGTTTGCCTGGGTTAGAACAGTGAATAGACAAAGTCACAGGGCATTTTTTAAAAACAAAGATAAAACTTCAGATATTTCTAAGCTGCTTATAAGAGGAAGCTGGATAAATATCACTGTATATTTACCCTATGCTGTCATTTTTTCCCTGAGCTTTATTATTAACCAGTGTTAGATACAGGATATTGGGCTACTCACGCCATTGGCCCGTCCCGATACAGTCGTCCTTGTGTTCTGTAGTTGGGTTCCAGCACTCTCAGGGTACGTGCCATCGGTATCTCTGGAACAAACTTCTTCAGTTTTGTCAAAGCAGCACATTTAGTTCTTTGAGATAAACTGATGTATCTTCTTTACATCTTTTAACTGAGGGGAAATTGTTGAGTGATGATGAAATCCAGTTTTCTGTCTTTTTTTCATTTGCTGCTAACATGCTTCAGACATTTTAACTGAAACATCTCATAATTGTTCTCAGATCCAAAGGTACAAAATATTTGGTAAACATGAGGTAACTTCATTTGGAACTTGGTTTGGAGTGTCATCACTTGAAAATTAAATGGAAAAATAAATCTGCTTTAGATTAAAGTATTTAGTATATTGAGCATATGAGCAGCTTAACTTCACAATGTTGTTTGTATCAGCAGGATGCTTTATTCAGCTTTATTCATCCAAGGAGGTGTGGATTTACTTTGCCTGTGGTCCTTTATAAATTTGCAAAGCAAAATAAATTTGCGCTTCCAGGGTTGTACAGTTCTTTTCAAGTGACACTCTAGCCTTTTACGTTCTGCTTACTAAAGCTGTAAACGGTTGAAATATCACAGCCAAGAAGGTCCATCTCAAGGAATTTACTGTGTGGTGTGGTGAAGAAGATAAAGCTGGTAGGAGTCATGTGCTAATAGAACGCTGCCTGTCTTTAAAATAAATACTGAAGGGAAAAATCCTGAATACCTTTCCCCCTCCCTCATCCCAAATGGCAGGAATTAAGTTTTCTTCTATTCAGTTTGGCATTTTATGTGTGTAGTCCAGTGTGTATATATATATATATATTCTAGCAATGTAGGGGCCAAGTTAGTTTGTCATTTTGTCTCGTTGCTTATGAGTATTTGGGATTGGTCACTGCTTTAAAGGGTGTACTGTCTGGGTGAAAGCCTTATCCTGTGGATGTGGCAATTCACTGTCCGATATTCTCTGTTTGCTTGAAGGTTTATAGTGGGCAGCTGAGCTCCTTGAAGTACTTTTCTTTGGGATAGGAGGTAGATCTCCAAAGTGCCAGGAGCTCTGTCTTTTTGTCTTTCATCGCATGATTAATGCCAAATTTTGTTTCGGATATCTGGTGTTTTTCCTGCCCAAAGCTTACTGCTGTAGACTAACAATAGTAATTTTATTTCATTTATATGTTGTTTTATAACCCTTTAAAACAAATGTAATTTACTTCAAGATGGCTGCATGACAGAGTTGGGTAACGCAAATCCTGTCTGTTGATTATGGAAGTAGATGACTAATATTTTTGTAAAGCAGTGCTGGCATATCTTTAAATGTCAAGTGTTCTTTAGATGTGTATGGTTGTTAGTTGAGTGCTCGTGGACATATTTAGATGAAAATCATGTGAGCGTGTATGTGTGTTTTGTATCTGTGTGTGCAATGACAAGTCAGGCAAATTGTCTTATACAAGAGGCTAAACTATACTCCTAGAGCAACACACTGACATTTTTATGCAGTGAGTAATAAAGTGATAAAGAGGCAAGGATTTCTTGAGGGCTTTGCTGTTAGCTTGCAATGGCGTTAGAACTTGTAAGACTGAATTTGTAAGACCAGAAAAAAACCTGCAGCAGTGTCTTGGTTGTGGCGAAAGTACGGAAGGCTGAAATAAACTTTTGTAACTTTTTCAGGTCATCTTGTAATGGAAGAAAATGGAGCTGACCATGACGTTGCTATGGAAGGATCTGATGATTTGTTCATAGGCAACTGTAATAGTACAGGAGAGTCAGAAACAAATGATCGTGTTTTTCAGGTGAGGTATGAATGTCTTGTCTTGGTAGATGCTTTCTTTACATCCTCTCTGATTAATTTACAGTATGATAGTTCATCGAGGTGTTTTTTCTTGCCTTTATAGTAATACATTGTGTCTTTTAAAAAAAGTACAAAAGTTCCTTCCCTTGTATTCTTCTGCCATTCAGTTTTGAACTGATAAATGTCTGGTTGTTACAGGTAACGACAACCTTTAGTAGTTATATTAATAGATCCTGTTACAGTGCTGAAGAAATGTATGTTTTATTGTGTTAACAAAATCCTTTAATAAAAGAATACTTGATGACATGCCTTGGAGTAGGAGGAGTTCAGAACACTTGAAAATCAGGTCAAATTGCTTAGTGACCAAATGTGGCAAATAAGAATCCAGGGACGCAGGACATCTGTGTAGGTATTGGGGAAGGGGAGTCTTTAATGTATTTATTATCAAATATTGCCAGATATTCCTGGTCGGATTTCTGTGCGTAAATGTTCTTCTGCAGATTACTTCAGCTAACATAAAATACCATTCAGGTAGTGTTTTAGTAGTGTGCTTATGGTCTCTGCACAATGTCTTTAACACAGCTAGTGCCACTTATTTGTTGCTGCTTTTCTGGTGTAGTTTGCAGTAGACAGTTTCAGCACAGAAGATTTATACCTGCGGATTTCTGAGAAGGTTATTTGGCCCAGGTCTGACTTTAATTCAAAATTTAGAAACATTTTTCCCCACTCTTTGGATTTGTAGTTTACAAATTTTTGTAGCAGAAATGTCAGAGTTGTTTGTGTGATTGCTGCAAGAGATACAACAAATTGCACTCCTTCTTGCATTGGCCAAATGACAGCCTGACATGATATTTTACACGAGGGCTGCCTATTTTCCATTATTTTTACATGTTTCATATTTGTGTTGTCAGAGTTTCAACAAGATAAATATTTGTGCTTAAAAATTTATAATTTAATGAAAATGAGATGTGCTGTGAGACCTTGATTCTGCAAGCTTGATGAGAATAAGTTCCGAGTACCTATTTTTTTGAGGCTTGCAAAATCTGATTCTTGGTCTTGCACTGTATGATTCTTGGACTTGAATTGGTATGTTTGTGCTGCTTGTGTTTCTTCTGTGGTAAAGAATTAGGAAAGCATATAGAGATTTTTGTCTTCATAGCTAAATATGTGTATCTAAAGGCCAAGTGGAATAGTATCTAGGATTTCTGTTGAAGTCAAATCAAGTTGGTGGATGTTTTTACAGTTTTGTTTTTGGTATACGTTCTCTCAGTTTCTGGGTAGACTTGAGATGTTTTAAAGTGATGAGTGGTTTTGGGGGACAGATTTTGGGCGCAAGGGATTTTCTTTCCCCTTAGTAGAGAGAGTTTGTTCTAGGAAGCAGAAATATGAATACATTTTTAGCATGGAAATGGAAAACAAAAATAGAATTGCTAGTGTTAGCTAGTAGCCTCTTGAAGGACAGAAGGACAAGAGCTCCCTCCAAGTATACGATACAGCACACTGGTTTTAAATGTTCGTTTCTTTTTTTTTTTTTTTTTAAATAGAAATTGCTACTCAAGATTAAAGTACATTTTACTGTTTTTCCTCTGTGAAAGCATCTAACCTGCATGGATTCCAGGGATCCGTTGTTTGGACAGAGTGACTCTCCTGCAGCCTTGCCCATCACAGTATGCCTCTCGGGCAGTTCTCCATCATCGGCTGCACCCGCACGGCCACCCCAGCCACAGCCTCACTCTGCAGAGGAGTCCCACCTGGCACACAAACCGGGGCAGCCTCTCTATGAGCTGCAGCCCCTAGGAGGGCCCAGTGCGCCGATGGTGAGTGTGTCTGAAACAGGGCAGGTGGTGTATTCACAGATGAGGGAGCTCTTTGAAGAACTCTTTTACATGGTGCTTGCTTGTTGTAACAGCTGGTTCAGACTTTATCTCTAGCAACAAGGTGAAACTTTTCAGTGGTTCAGTTCATTGCTCCAGATGCCCTTCTTCAGGTAGCCCAATCCTGTCTCCAGCCGTTACTAATTTTATTAAACAACAACTTATGTCTTTTCTCATTATGCTTAACACTTATTTTGTAAAAAGTTAACTCTCTCAACCAGAGGGTTTGATTGGCATGTGTTGTACTGGTCTTGCACTGTATGATTCTTGGACTTGAATTGGTATGTTTGTGCTGCTTGTGTTTCTTCTGTGGTAAAGAATTAGGAAAGCATATAGAGATTTTTGTCTTCATAGCTAAATATGTGTTTTCCCCCCCCCCCCCCCCCCCCCCCCCCCCCCCCCCCCCCCCCCCCCCCGCAATTAATTTGCTTAAAACATCGCTTTGTAATGCTTAACACTTATTTTGTAAAAAGTTAACTCTCTCAACCAGAGGGTTTGATTGGCATGTGTTGTACTGGTCTTGCACTGTATGATTCTTGGACTTGAATTGGTATGTTTGTGCTGCTTGTGTTTCTTCTGTGGTAAAGAATTAGGAAAGCATATAGAGATTTTTGTCTTCATAGCTAAATATGTGTTTTATTACACATTTTTATTAATTAATTTATTACCCATTTCAAGTGTAATAAATCAGAAACAAGGTGATATTTTGTCATTCTAGGTTTTATAACATTGTTGGGAACAAGTCCTTGGTAATTATGGGAAAACTTACCATAAGGAGTTGTTTAAGTTTTCCAGAATTCTGGGAGATTTAATTTGTACTTTTTTTTAAAGTCCTGGATCTTTTCTTCTATCTGCTTTTGCATAGAATGCTGCCCATAGAGGTCAGTTTCTTAGGAGTAAAGGTCAAAATTTTTATATGTTGTGATTAATTCTGCTAGTCCATGAATGAGGTTACAGTGAATCCAACTATGAATGGCTTTCAGGTTTTTGATAGCTTTAATAATAGTGTTGTAAGTTTCAAATAAATGTGTAATTCATTGTAGAATCCCATAAGGTGTTTTTTTTCTCTCCTTTAATCAATTAAAGGGCTATTTTAAAAGGGGGAAAATAATTTTAAGAAATTGACAGTAAATAGGCAGTTTCCTTATTATGTGAAATCAAGATAATTTACAGGCCCTAATTCCAACTAAAATATTTCCTGTTCCGGTAATAAGCAAACCCAGCTGTGCTGCATGATGATCACCATACAAACTAGCACCATTCATGCTTTTGTGTGATTGCCTTACAGATGATTGTCGCTAGCCAGTCAGAAAACGGACAGGTGCTGCATGTCATTCCTTCTGCCCAGCCAGGAATGGCCCAAGTGATTATTCCTCAAGGTCAACTTCTGGATATGACCAGCATGCAGGGTGAGTTTAATCTGTGGGACTTGAGGGTGTGTGTTCTGTGACTAAGCGTATCCTGCATGGTCTCTTTTTAAGCACCTTGTTTGTATGTGTTCCCTTTCCATAGTTATAAGACAAAAATACACACTTACTGAATCTGCTTTCTGAATATGAATCTGGCACCCTATACACCACATTTTCTGTTGGACAAAAGCCTTATGAAATAAGAGCTAGTATGCTCACTTTAGATATGTGACGGATAAATTGAGATATCAAGCACAAAGCTGCTTCTTGCGTTATTTACCATCAATTAGGATATTTGTGCCAAGTCAGACACGTACTATCAGCTTCAAATTTTCACCATCTACTTCGTTTTGAGTGAAGTAGTTAATTCATGTAATGCAGATAGAAGAATTAATGTTGTTCTGGTCTGTTCCAGAGATCACTGGTGTTGATGCATCTTTTGTGAAGCCAGGAATGAAGTATCTAGGTAGAAATTCAGTTCCCAATGAAGAAAATGAGATGTAACTTTCACTTCATTGCTAAGTTTTTTCCCTCAGTGTGTTAACTGTCACATTTTAAGTATGTGGTGAGATGCACAACTAGAAGCATGAATTTTAAGCTTTTCTCTAGAAAAGGGACATACTGAAATCTGAAAGTGTTGGTTATTTATATGCAAGCCTTGCTGGGTGGCAAAATGCTGTGTACTAGTTTACATTAATGGAATAAGACTGAGAACTAGGTTGTCACATTTGGTTAAACTCTCCAAGGTTTTTTAAACTGTCCTTGCATTTTCTGTATAAAATTATCAAAATCTGAGCAAATTCTCAAAATCTGAGCACTAGTTAAGTGCTCCTGTGGAATGAGACCTCAAAGTTAAGACTAGAGTTCTGATGCTGGGTGGATAGAAAAAAGAGTTGGGACTGAAGTCACGATCCAGCCTTTTTCACTTACAGTTGGAATATGGTTGCATGACCTTGCATTGAAAGGCTTGCTCCTACCCTAATGCTCATCCTTTCCTCCCTCTCCACCTGCTCTTGCAGGGGTAAAACCGCCGTTTGGTTACAGTGTAGTCTTACATGACTTTAAGCTGACTGTGAGCCTTCAGTTACAAAAGAATTGCTGCTACTTGTAGGCAATAAGTTGCAATGCTGAATAGTATTTTTGTATTCCCATTTTTCATCCTACATGGGGTTCCCTGTTTGCAAGTAGCTCAGTTTCACAGTATTTGAATATATGTTCTGCAGCAGTGCTACAGGGTTTTTTGTGGGGTTTTTGTTGCTTTTTTTTTTTTCCCCTAGAGACTTACTGTCGTAAAAGACTTTGTAGTTATTTAATCTTTAAAAGACAGTTAGGAAGACTTGTCAGTGGTTTACTATGGAGATTAAAGGGGAAAGGGAATGGACTGTCAGCCCTTGAGTTTCACTTCCTTGCAGGTGGTGGTAATGCATGAAATGGAACAGGCTTCAAAGTAGACCTTAGTGTCTTAAGGGCACGTCTATGTAGAAGGAACCAGTACTCTGAGCTTTGAGCCAGAGTGGTGTTACTCTGAGGTGCACACTTAGGAATCTTCTGGCACAAGGTTTCTAGTGGAATGATTTCTGTACTGAGTCAATAGCTTATCACTCTCTCTCGGGATGGGGGAAAGAAGCTTTCATAATTGAAGGGCAAAAATCCCGCAGCTAAAGAGAGCTCCCTTTTCTTTATGTTGAGACCAAAGTAACAAATGTCTACTTTCACAGTTTTCCATTATGTTTTTGTTTAACTATACACACAGACTTCAATCTAACAGCATTTTTTGGCTTATGGGTTGGTCCCTGTTATCAAGAACGGCTAAAACATTTGTTCTAACAGCATGTCAGATTCAGTTACGAGGCCTGTTTTTTCTTGTTTAGGTGTTCTTTTCTAAGTACAAAGCAGTATGGTAATCTCCTTTTCTCTTATTTTAAAAGGAACCGGTGTGTGATTTGCAGCTGAACAAAATAGTTGTGCAATCCTATGTGGATTTGTGGAAATGTAAAGCAGAGTAATTTACAAGTTCTTCTGATTGTTTGCTTTATTGCGGAAGGATTCATTAGCAGTAGCATGATTACCAAAGTCCTTGAGTACAAACAACCTTATCAAGTGTATCCTCATATGTGTGCCTAGAGTTTGAGTATTGATTCACAACTATTAAACTACTTTATCATTTAGAAATCTTATCTCATATGTCAAAATGCTTGCTTTTCTAACACACAGAGCTTAATCATAGCTTGTCATTTCCCGATTCTGAGTTCAGTTATTAACCAGGAGGATGTCTTATTTTTGCAAAGATGTTTCAGAAGAGAAGTGTGGTGATGGGAACTTGCAGACTGTGGCGGTGGCTGCTATAGCAGACAGTGCGAGCAGTTACATTCTACATCCACAGGCATCTCTCACCGTATCGAAAAAAACAAGCACCAGGTAGGTCAGGAGTTAAAAGGGTGAACAATCACTTTGATCCACTGTTAGTAGTGCCTTTTTTTCTTGCAGTTTGTTTTTGCAATGGTTATCACAAAACTACCATAGAATAGAGGTTATGAACCCTTAGAATTAGTGAATGATGTGTAGCTAACTGTGTTCACAGGCAGTTTTGAATGTGCTAGAGCAGTGAAAAAAGCAATTAAAGTACCTGTGTTCCAGAGATAGTTGGATATATTCTTACCAGAGCAATAGGTGGGCATTTAAAGTAGCACAGTGCAAACTACTGAAATTAATCCAAATAAACACTGATACTGCCAACCAAGAGTTGAAAGTGATCCAGTGAAGGAACTGCAGGGAAAGTTGAAGTTTGAGGGAGCAGAGTTTCTTCTATGAGTATATTAAAACCTATATAAACCATCCTCCCACGAGAAGGGTTGACTATAGAAATTAATTTTTTAGATAGAGATTTCAATAGTTGACATTAACAGGGAGAGCCTAATCTTTGTTCTCTGGATAACTTCTTCAGCTTCCTTTGATAAAATATGAGAAAGTAGCTGCTAACGATGTATTTCAGTGGAACACGTAGGCAGGCAGATTGGTCAGCAAAGTTTCTGAAGTTAAAATAGTTGCTATATTTTTCTTCTCTTGATATCCACCTGATTCTGTCCCCGTGCTAAGTGATGCCTACTATTTTATTTCCTGGGATTCTTTTTTGCTTAAGAACCAAAAAACCAAACCAAAGAAGCAAAACAACAACAAAAAACCACACCCCCCCCACCCTGCCAAAGACGACATTTGTTCTGTGGACTGCAGGCTGGCTTTGCATTGGTTTATGCTCTTTTGTAATCGAGACGTGGAAGAGATTAGAATAATCTCACTACAGCACGAATTATATATATTCAAGAAACACTTAAAGTGAAGAGAAACAGTTTATGAATGGATTTTGTGAACACAGTCTGTACACATTAGAAAAATCCTGGAAACGAGACATATTTGTATGGACAGGAGGTGATGCACTTGAGTTTTGAAATAGTAAACATTGAGTAAGCATTGTTTCTGCCCCAGGATTTAGGGAATGGAGAAACTAGATACTTAAAGTAGTTGTTGGAGCTGGTTTTCAGTAATTTAAAATATACTAAAATGTGCAGCATTTAACAAGTGTTTGATATTGGTTTTAATCTTTAGCATTCTAACATCAGTCTGCGTAAGAAAATTATTGAGACAATCAACTGGTCTATTTCACCATGTTTTGTCTATTGCTGTCAAGCAACAATACTGAGAGTACTGAATGCTCGGAGGTCTTCTTGAATGTAGAAAACAGTGGGTTTTTTAAATACTTACATTTACTGTGAATTATTTTAACAATGAAATAGAATATGAAGAAAATGAACCCCAGGTTTTTAAGGCAAGTTGATACAATATCTGTAGTTTGATAATACGCTGTAGCGTTATACATAATGCACTGATTTGATACATTACTTGTAGTTTAGACTAAATTGTTGCTTTCCTGGATGTCTGTATAGACTTTTACTATATTTTTTTATTTTTCAGGGTAGTGGAAGATCCCTTTCCCATCCCTCTCCAGCCATTGCCACCAAATACGCCTGCATGGGCACGCCGTCTCAGGAACTGTGAGGTGGGCTGCAAAGAATTCTGACTTGATGTTTTATCATCTAGGTCTAAGATACTGATCCTATTCCATGAAAGGAATAACGTTCGTAGTTGTAGAAGTTGTGTTCAAGCTTCCTGGTATTATGATATAGTACTGGTACTAGCTGGTACTACTAGCACATTTAAACACATAAAATGCTATGGAATCTCTTCCTTTTCTGGGAATACTAGAATAACTGACCATCAACAGCTCCTGAAGCAAAAAATGTGCTTCTGAAATCTCGATGCCGTACAGCGCTGGGAAAAGCCACTGATCCACACTTTGTGTGTCATGTTAGAGTTCACTCTTGAACTACAGTGCAAGCTCTGCTGTCTTCTGCTGAGCAAACTGGTTTTTGTTGCCCTTAGTGATCCATTAAGTAAAGAATAAAATTGCTTTGTATGGCCTAAGTCTGCAACTGTTCATATTAGTTTGTGTTGTCACTTAAAAATCAAAATCTATGTGACTCGCCAGGGTCAAGTCTGGGACTTAACAGAGCACCTTAATGCCAGTGTTTTACTAAGGATTTCTATTTTAGGTGTTCTCACAGATTTTTTTTTTTTGTTTGTTTGTTTGGATGTTTTTTTGTACCAGCGTGGTTACCTGTGCTTGTTTTCTCTTTTGTTGAAAAATGCTCTGTCTTTATTCCCTGTGATGGCTTTTGACCTAAACAGAACTCTCTCTTTATTTGCATATTGTTAGAAGCCTGCAGAACTGTCCTGATGACTGGGATGATATCAACAGCTAGAATGCATCATAAATCACTTAAAAGGAAGGGAGGGGAGATGGGAAGATTCTTCAGAGATCACCTACCCCTTCCTCCTGCTACAAGGCTCTTCCTGATAGATGTTTATTTTACTTTCTCTTAATACTTTTTTAAAGGAAAGCTCATACTCCCTCTAGCTGGTTCACCTCTTTAGATATCCCTGCCATTTGAGGTTTTTCCTATTGGCTTGGCCACTGATAACTGTAAATTGCAGTTGCAGGGACTTAGAAATGGAATTTCTTTCTGTATCCACTTAGAAATAATTTTTAAATTAACTAAATATATTAATCTATTCCTCTTTTTGTTATATGCCTTTTATTTCATATAAATGGTATTGTCCACTATTATATCAACTTAAACATTAAGAGGTCAGAAAATTAATAACACTAATTCTTCCATGGTGGAGATGCTGTTTTCACAGAATAAATGAGTCAATTCAAGTGGCCAGTTAGTTGTTGAAGTCCAGTAAGATGTATAACCCCTGTTACTGTGTTTTTAGCACTATGTGGCCCATACTTTCCTGTCTTAACATCGATGTAGCTTATCGGAATCATTACTGGTTTCATTTTATAGGAGGACTTACATTATGGTCTGCTTGGTCTATCTGAATTTATTACCAGAAATTTCACCTGCTGTGTTTAAAATTCACAGCAGCAGCATTTATAGAAGAGTTCTTGTTTTTAAAGAAAAGGAAATCAAAATACTGTCTGTTTGAATGTGTTCTGAGGATATAAACATCTGCCTCTGCTGCTCAGCATAACTATTGCCTGTATGCATTAATCCTCCCTGTTCCTTTAAAAAAAAATTATTTTGTTGCTGTTCTCCCTGCAGAGTCAGCCCATCCAAGGAGGAATAACCCAAATTCTCTACTCCCTTGTGTGTTATCAGCAGAATTGCTTTGCTGAGTTTGTCAGTTACACAGTGTAAATCCACTGGAGACTGCTAGGATGCGTGTGCCTTTTCATGGACACAGACTAGAGACAATGGGATTTTGAGGTGTCATTTATCTTTCAGGTGTGACTGTCTTGCAAAATGTTTTGTTACTAGTAATAGGATAGAAGGGTCCAACTGGAATTTGGACATCTAGTTAGGGGTGCAGATAAATGTGGCAACTCACAATTCCACTCCTTCAGTCACTTGCCACAATAGAAACAAACAGCATGGAGGTCTGTGAATTTCACAGAAGATGCCAGCAGGTGAAGCCATGGCATAGCCTCAGTACATGCTGCCAATCGTATATCCCAGGGAGCTGGCCAAGACTGAACCCCAAGGGGCAATGACTCCTTTAGCAGTTAGTACTGCAGGCTAACACAGAGCGGTAAAAGCTGCAGCTGTCGAAAATTAGCACTAAGCTATGTGTTTGGTGTTGATTCCCCAACTGCCTTGAAATGTTCAGCTTACTTGCTGTGCCTAGACAATGTAATGCCTGTGGTATCGTGCTGTTAGTTCACTCAAGGAAAACTGCAGTCTTGATATGTGTGCTTCAGCGTAAGCTTTTATGTACACTTGCTGAGATGAGGCCAGGGGGGAGAGAAGCAATTGCTCCTTTTTTTGGCTTGAAGCTTGGCTGGAGTTAAAGGGTTGGAAAGTATCAGATTACTTCAGGGTAATTACAGTAGATTTTAAATTAAAAAAAGCTATTTTCTATAACCTACTTAGTTTTCAGTGGTCTGATCAGAAAGCGTTTCCAGCATGTATCAACATACTGAAATAGAGTGTAATTAAAAACTGCATTAATTAATCAACTATACAAAGCTAAGTTCATTTATTTGTGTGGGGCAGATGGTCTCATTTGTCCATTTGTTTCTACTTGGGAAGCTCCTACAGAGCAGGGATCCTATGTGCTATAGGATTTTCTTCTTCTCCTCCCCTCCCACCAATTTTGGGAAAATGATCTCTCTTGTGCAGAAGGAAAGCCAGACTAGGAGACAGTGCCTTAACTGTTATCGCTACTTTTCTGGCACAACAGTTTTATCAGTCTTCTCTCATCTCCCTAGAATAAGGTCAATGACCTATTTATAGTGACAGCTATAAGATGTGGAAAGAAAAATGCTGGTCATGCAGTATTCACTCTGTGGAGTGGTACTGTAATCCCTCTTGCAAACGGGGGCATCCCAGGTTTCTGTAAAGAAGGCACTTCTGGTACTTCTCAGGCTGCTTTGCTTCTCCTGGATTTTTCAAATCAAGTTTTGGACAGAAATGTTATTTATAATTTCTGGCTAAACAATTGCCAGCTCCTCTTTCTCACCCCAGCTGTGTGAGTGCAGCCTATGTAGACTTTCTTAACTGCTGGAGCAGTGTGCTTACAGTGCAGTGAGCTCCTGAAGTGTAAGGAACTGGTATCTCAGAATGACTCACGCAGCTGGTGCATACATAACCCTTTGCTTTTGGGCTTGTGCTAGCAGTAACACTGTGCTGGCCCAGTTCATTCACAACGTGTTCATTTGTTCTTTTGTTGACTTTAGGTCTTGCTAACCACAGACACTTTGTTTTTCTTCGACAGCTATGAGGCAGGTTTTATGTAGTTGTCACTAAAGTATTTGTGCAATAATAATCTTGGAGAGACACTGTTCCTGCTTTTGGTGTCAGTATTTTTTAAACATCTAGCTGCTCTGTCATTGAAGGTGGCAAAATAGATCCATCATACTTTAGTATTTATTCACCATGCATTTGCCCCACAGATATGCTGTAAGGCTGAGCTGGCAATCTACTCTGGGTGTTACTTCCAGCTGCTTGGTCAGCCTGATCCTGAGCTGCATATGAACAGAAGTGAGCATGGCGTTCCGAATTTGGATGGAAAGCTCTTCTCTGTCCCAGTGCTTTGATGTGATGGCTTTGAGTAGCTGAACAGCTGTCACGGGGGATGTTGCCAAGTCAGCAAGTTGTTTGTGGTTTTTTTGTTGTTTCATTTTTTTGTTTGTTTGTTTGTTTTTTTTTTACTTTGAGTCAGGTTAGATGTAGTTTTTCTGGAGTTGCCCAGAGCTTAGCAGAGTTAATTGAAACCATCATCAGTTTGCAAATGGCAAATCTGGTATATTATGTTCCTGTGTAATGTTGAGAATCAAGAGTGCCCTGAAGATTGGGAGGGATATTATGTGAGACATTCAATTCAAAGTTAGTGCACTAGGTGGTGAGGCGGCTACTGGTGGTACAAACAGGTGTGTCCTGCTCCAGCTCAGTACAGCGTGTGTGTGTTGAAGTAGATGCATAGACATTTTTTGGTGTTTCAGAGATTCTCTGTGGGAGTCAAGTGAAAATATTTGCCTAAGACAAATTTGTCTAGGAGGTGACTGCCGCTGAAGTGTGTGTTGGGGGAAACAACAGGAGTGAAGTTGTCCTATGGAAATCAGAGTTGGCAGTAACTGTAATCTTTTCAGGGGTTTTTGGTGTACTTAGGGTCTTGGAGGGCTGACAAACTCCTGACCTCTGTGGGGACTGATCTGCTGTTAGATCCTGTGGTAAATCTATTTGTGAGGATACTAGTGTGGGGGAAAAAAAAAAAAGCACAAAATGCCAAAAATCTGAGCCTGTGTCCTCATTTGCCAGAGTCCCTGACTGCTTTCTTTTTCTTGTGCAATGTTCAGCAGTCAGCTGGGTGAATAATCCTATTATTTCACCTCCTTTCCATGCAGAAAATTGGGGACTCGTACCGCGGCTATTGTGTGAGCGAGACAGAATTAGAGAGTGTTCTAACGCTACACAAGCAGCAAACACAAAGTGTGTGGGGGACGCGCCAGTCTCCAAGCCCAGCCAAACCTGCCACACGGTTGATGTGGAAATCTCAGTATGTCCCATATGATGGGATCCCCTTTGTCAATGCAGGTAACTAACTTTTGTTTTAATAACTACTTTCAAAATTTCAACGTCAGTTGCCAACTGGCCATAAAGAAGGATCTTTATGGTGTTCCTTAGTGTGGATAAAGTCAAGGCACAAACATAAAAAGAGAGCAGCTTGGGTGACACAATCTGAAGGAGCTTGTTTCCCTGAAACCGCAGGCTTATGTTTTGTTGTGACTAATTCCTTTTGTTCTTTAGAAATAAACTAGCTAAGTACCATTTGATGGGGGTTCTTGTGATGAGATCTTTAGATGGAGGTCACATACACTCTATCAGGACGTGAAAGTTCTCATAAGGGTAAGAGCTTGTTCGAGTATTCTTGCCTAACTTGGAGATCCTTTGAAGAGTTTGTTCCACAGGAGCCAATAAACTATTTAAATGGCGCCCTTTAAAAAAAATCAAATTTAAAAAGCAAAATAAACACCAACATACCTGAGCAGACAGATTTTTATTTTTTTTAAATGAATGTGCAGACTTCACAGATTGGTAATTACATACTTAGCTCATGCAATGCATATGTGAAATTACTAAGAGTTCATTGGATATGAAATAAACAGGTTTTAATTGTTACATAAAGATCATAAATGACTGGAATGTGGGTTATGTGCTTGGTTTGTTGTTGGTTTGTTTGTTTTTTTTTTCTGAAAGTAACTGAAAAAGTGAAATGTTAGCACCAGTTTTAAAGCTTCAGCCATAAACTGTGAGGAGTAAGAAAGCTAAGAACAAAGCCAAAACAACTTACACTTTTATTTTTTCCCCAAAGTGCATGAGACATCTTTAGTTTCCTGTAAGATCTGCCTGATAAATGACTTACCCCACAGTAAGATATTTAGAGCAAAAGCACACATAGATATTTTTTTTTTTTTTACCTTTAAAATGTTGCAGACTAATAGAGACTCAGATAATTAAGTTGTAATATTTTTTGCTTTGCTCGGACCCCCAAACAGGCATCGTGTATATTTCTAACATGTTGCTTTTCCAATATGTTTAGATTTAGTTTATAACTCCTCTATGAAATTCATTAAAATCCTTTACACCTGTAGAGCAGAGACTGTAAATATGATTTACTGAACTGCAGTTTAAATCCCAGATAACTGAATTCTAAACTGTGCAGGACAAAAGTGTTGTTCTCGAGGAATTTCTCTCTTCTGCATAAGTGGAACCTATCTGTAATACCTTCCCTGCTGTGCTTCAGCGGTGAGGAAACATAGAGAAGCTGGGTAGCTCCCTATAGTGTAAAACATGCACTAATCATCAAAATCTTGATTGTTATTTTTAATAAGAATTTTGGATAGTTGATACTTTTGTAAAACAAGGGTCCCATCAAATTGCTTTTGAGATTCATATTAGCAAGGACTAGTTTAAAGCTGTTGAAGTCTTTTCAATCCTAGAACTTTGATTTTAAGTTTGTTTTTTAAAAAGAGACAAGATATCTGTTATGCATAATTCTCTTTTAAATTTGCTATTTCTTTATTTGCACTGATTTTTTTAAATTTAAATTTTTTTTTTTAATGTCACACTCTAAGGCAATAAATCATTGGATATCTTATGGAAACACATTATGTTGCTGTTGTGATACTTAAAAAGGTTTTGGTTATATCACTTGTGGTATAGACAGCTCCTTGCCTGCATACTGGAGTATTTGAATTAAAAGATAACTAAACATGACGTGGAAGAAATTTGGAAGAAGTTCCTTTCTTGACCACTTTAATGCTATGCCTTTTACCCCATTTGTTAGAGGTCTGATTGGAAGAAGTCACTTACTTCAAGTTTAGAGCTAAGCAATATTTGTTTAAGCCTGTCCGGTGTTGTGTGGGTATGCCACACTGAGACAGTGTTATTTAGCAGATAAGATAGGTCAGACTTGCAAGTAAGAATTTATGGGACAGCGTGGTCTGAAGTATTGATTTAAGACAGGAGGCTGGAAATAGCTGCTGACCTTTGATTTCAGCTGTGGATTTTCTCGGTTATTTTGGGGATTCTGCTTCTCTTATGTTTATTACCAGCATTGTGCTCCTTTGGTAACTTGTAAGGCTGCTCATCTTGTAAAGTATTGGTGTTCACCAGGGCAGAATCCAATATTTTGCCTTCATATGTGTTGCAGGAGTGTTGTGAGGTGTAATAAGTTTGGGAAATGCTTTGAAAATGCTCTGTGTTCCTTACATGCTGTGAGAGAAGCATTTACACTGTATTTGAATGCTTGCTACACTTAACTGTTCTGCCTTCTGAAGAGTCTGATGGTAAACAAAAATAACTGTTTCGGAACTCTCATCTTTTCTGTAGTTACTGTTTTACTGTAATGGCTTCAGTGGTTGCTTGAATAAATAGAGTGCATTATTTTCTGTTCCCAGGAAGCAGAGCCATTGTAATGGAGTGCCAGTATGGGCCAAGGAGGAAAGGGTTCCAGCCCAAAAAAGCTGGTGAGCAGGAAAGCACTTCTGGTCATCTGTACAAAGCCACTTGTCCAGCAAGGTAAGAATTGTCTATAAAGCTGGAAGAGCTACTCAGCGTCCTAAGACAGCGTTCTTTCTGTGAGCCTTGACAGAGCACTGTTTGGGGGTGGTAGCTGATATGCACTGTAACTCTTAGCTTTGTCTCCTTGATAACTTGAGGTTGATACTCATTTAGAGGGAAGGAGGAAATGCTGTCTTGTTAAACTGAATAAGGCTGAGATTTGATAGGTTGCCTGAATGCAAAGTAGCAGTACATCAGGATGTGAAATACAAGTGGGAATCATTCTCTACCTGAGCATTAGTTAGTTGTTGTGGTGTCCTTTAGTGACCATTCTTGGTCCTAAAACTTTGACATCTTATTTGTTGTTTTTCCTTCAGGCTTTTAATTGCACTCATATCAGTCAATCATCCTAATTTAGCAGATGTCCTATTTGCTGAAGGAGTTACAGCTCTTCCTGTTCACTGGCGACTTTCTCCTTATCCAACACTAATGGTTTTTTCCCTTGTCCTTGAGCATCCTCCTGGGTGCTTGTCCTGTTTTTACTGAGCTAAGAGTGTGTTTACCTGGACAGTTGCAGCTAGGTATGTATGTGCTCAATTCTGGCTTCAAGCTGGGTGAACTACAGCCTGTTCAGCAATGGTGTTGTGCTTTTTACTATACTGAGGGACAGAGGATTTTTGCTGAGGTGCAAAATCACTCTGGCTGAGTGGCTTCCAGACTGGAACAGAAGTGTGTCTATCTGTATCCATCTGCATCCGTCTCTGTTGTTGTGTCCTTAACAATTCTACAGTTCTCTTAGAGGCTCCTCACCCCCTGCAACACTCTGCTTGAACTTTTTCTATACTAATATCTGATACAAAGTAGGTGGGGTTTTTGCCTTCCCCCTTGAAGGCAAAGTGTACTGAAGGAGAATTTTTTTTCTTATTCCCCCCGCCCCTTGGAAGGATCTATATTAAAAAGGTTCAAAAGTTTCCAGAATACAGAGTTCCTACTGACCCTAAAATTGACAAGAAAATCATAAGAATGGAGCAGGAGAAAGCATTCAACATGCTGAAGAAGAACTTGATAGATGCTGGCGGTGTCCTCAGGTGAAACTTCCACTTTTTTCTTTATCTTGACAAATGAAGCAAAAAAGAGCAGTAATTTGCTTGGTTTGCTTTATTTTTTACTTAGTCACTTTATTAAGGCTCTTGCTTAATATCAATAGTAAAAAATTACACAATGTCAGTAAGACTTCTGTGGCTCTGGAGTATTTAATTTGGTAAACGTGTTAAGCACCAAGCTGTGGAACTTCAGCAGATGTTTTCATGCAGGGAATAGATAGAAATAGTTGTATTATTTGGGGGTTTGAGCTGGTTTATTTTGTATTGAAAGATGTGAGCAGGCCCTGAGCTCTGAAAGGCAGTATCTTCCAGCTCAGGGGCTGTAAAAACTTAAGTCACTCTAACTAGGTTGGTTGTGATTGCCAGACTGTTCCCACAAGAGACTAATTTTTTTGCCTTTGCTGGAGAATTGTGTGTAGAAACTCTTTCCTTCTTGCCAGGTGGTATGTACAGCTACCCACTCAGCAAGCCCACCAATATCATGAAATGGAAACCTCCTGCCTCCCTTCTTCACCGTCCCATTTTTCTGTGTCTCCTCCTGAGGAGGAGGAGGAAGTTGTTAGAGATGAGAACTGTACTCTGCCTTCCCGACTTCATCCTCAAGTGGCAGACAAGATCCGAGAACTGGTGTCTCAGGGAATAGAGCAGGTCTATGCAGTGAGGAAACAACTAAGGTACAGAACTGTCTGGCATGTTCTCAATCTGTAGTGCTGTATCTACTTTTGCATTTGATTAATTTGGTTTGCAGCTAAATGGCAGCGCTGATGCATTACTGAATATATTTCCTATATTCCATGAGAATCTGCTTTTCCCAACTTTTGTCTTCTCTTTCCATTTCGTTGTAGGTAGCCACTAAGAGCTGCTGTCCTCTTTAAAGTTAGTTGAATAAATGGGGATTTTTAATTCCAAACTCTGTAGCAGATGCACAAAGAACTGGGTCAGAAGATCATCTAGCTTGCTCTTGTCATGTCTTTGCAACAAGGGGAGGGAGAAGGTAGCAGTGTCTATACCAGAGGGAAATAGAACAATATATTTTAAATACACATATTTTAATGTCCTTTAACATGTGACAGAAAGTATGTGGAAAGAGAATTATTCAAGCCTGATGAAGTGCCAGAAAGACATAACCTGTCCTTCTTCCCCACTGTGAATGACATCAAGAACCACATTCATGAAGTGCAGAAGTCCCTGAGGAATGGCGAGATGGTGTATAATTCAGAAAGTATCCCAGCAACGGTACATTGGCCTTTGTGTTTCTTTTTGATTTTTAGAGTTAAATACCGTAAATCTTATTTTTAATTTTTACCACTTAGCTGTATTTCATCCAAAATTCTCTATGGCTTTATATTTCCAGCAGCAATATTTTCAGTGGAATCTCTGGCTGAGCAAGATTGGATTAAATGTGAATAAAACCTTCTGACCTTATTCGGTATTTATCTCATCAGCATTAGATTGCTATTAGTTGATTGACAAATTATACAATACTAGCACTTGATGACTGCATGAACTGGAAGCCGTGTGGTGTAGGAAAATTGGCATGCATCAGAAAATTCTATTAATGGCTTTGTCATTGTCTGTGTTCTGGAGAAGTTACTACTACTTTTCCGTATCTGAAAAATGGAGATGAAGTATGTCTCAGGTGCAGTCTAAATTAGGGCTTGCAGAACATTTTGAATGTGTAAATATTAATAAATGCACTTTATAGCAAGTGAAGTTAGTGTGAAGTAGATACTTCAGAATGCTCAGTAACTCTTATGTGTTCTTCCTTAATTTTCTTCCACCTATTGAGTAATAAGGGATGCACAGTGATCCTAATTTTCCCAATTATGAGGCTGACTGCTAAGGAATTGCTGATTTAAAGTCAGCTTTGACAAACTGTGCTGTTAAATCATGCTGTGTCATCAGTCTTTTCCCTCTCCTTACACTGCTTTTGGCCCAGGTGAGTGGGTGGTACTTGTTGGTTAGCCAAATGGTTTGACTATTTTCTAACTTTAAAGTCTTTGAACTGTCATGAGCAGACTTTAGCCTTCCTGGTATAGTGCACATTAAAAAATCTTTTACCGTTGTTTTTGGGGTTTTTTTGTTGGGGTTTTTTTTTTTTGGTAAACCAAGAGCTCCCAAAATGCATAGTTGTACGAAAATAAGAAAGTGTAGTTTTAGACACTGTTTTCCTACGGGTCCTGTATTGAGCCTATGTTCCTGTAGTAGACAAACTTGCACCCTTTCTGAGAACTGAGATCTTTTTCCTTTCAGCTGCAGTGGACCACAGACAGTGGGAATGTTCTCACAGAAACAGTGACTGTTACGTTTGCGTCACCACCTTCAGATGGTAGGACTGCATTAATAACTTACCTGTCTCCAAATGTGATTTGTTTTATTAGCTATGTCACAGAAGTTTGGTTTCCTTCCAGAGAGGTTGCTGTCATGTTCTGTCACTCAGCTGAACTTCAGAAGGATTATTTTGGTGTGTCTATTTTCGCATACTTTTTTTAACCATTTGACTGCATGCGTGGAAGAATACATGTAGTCATGATGGGGTTGGCAGAAGTATGAAAATTATAGATTTGGCTTTTATTTAGCATCCTCAAGCAGCTGGAGATTTCAACGGGACGGTTATACGGAAAAAAACATTTTGCCTTGGATGAAGGTGCTATTAACACCTGTGTAGACAGAAGTAAATTCCTACTGAACAGATATATCTGTCAGGGTACACAATACCAGAAGCCAACTGGGTACTTGAGTTCCTTGATGGTTTGTGCTTCACACATGCTTAACCATCTTGCTAAAAAGGACTTGAATGCATATTGGGATTCCTGCTTCTCACAAAGTCATTGGCTTGATGAGTTCCACTGCTAGGATCAGGCCCTGAACAACAAATGCTGTATTTCTGTCACCAGAATTGAGAGCACTCTTTTCCATTCTTCTTAATGCTTAGAATAGAAATAGAAACACAGGTGTTTAGTGGCAGCAGGGCTGAGAGATATGTTTCTTCGTTCTTTATGTGGTGTAATGTCTTTATTAACGTGTGAAGCCAAAGTAGCATCTCTTCCCAGCGATTGCTGAGCCACCTAACAAAGTATTAAACTTTTTCCCACTCTGCTGCAAAACCAGAGTGTAGATTTCTATAGAAACTTGGTTTTATGTGTTCATGGTCGAAGGTCTGGTTTTTTTGAAGAGGCTAGTTACACTATTTTTCCTTTGTTGAAAGTGGGTTCCTGCTACTATTACTTTGACTTCAAAACATGTACTAAAACAAAATGCAGGTGTTTGTAACTATACCTACTTGCTACTTACATAGTTAGGATTACACATAGGCTGAGATGCTCCGCTGGATCATAGTGGCTGATAATAAATTTAAAATGAGGTTATTCTGCCCTTTTCTCCAGGTTTCAAGGATATTTTGTCTAGTGTGACACCAAAAGAACTTTCCTGCCTGTTTGTGGATGCTTTCCCCATCCCTTGTTTAATAGGTTTGATATGAAACGCATCAGGAAAGTTGTTGGCTTTTAGCAGGGATATGATTGCAGCAAGGTGGAAGAGCCTGATTGTTTGCAATCATTAAGATAATGCTGCAGACTTCTTAGATGTTTTTAATCTGAGTGGCACTGCCAGCTTGTTTCCTCATTTAATTGGAACATGGTGGTGCGTACTTTTTGTTCCAGACAGCTGATAGAGAAGTCTACAGGGACCAAAGGGGCACTGCCACAGTTGTCATGTTTAAAGATTTACTCGTGTCGACAGTTATCCTCCACTGTGGTTCTTGCCTGAAGCCGTCCTGATTTGTTTGGGTTTCTTTTCTCTTTGGCCCCTGTCACTCCCTGATCTTTTTCTTACCTTTGTTGTAGCAGGAAAAATAAACCCCCAGAGGTTTGGCTCCCTGTGTGATTTCTCCTAAATGACTTGGTGAACCTGATGTACATGGAGCAGTTCCACGTACACCAGTGCATTTACAGTTAATAAATAAGCCAATGTTGGGCTTTGTTTTGTTTGGGATTTTTTTAACCCTGATTTTAGCTGTTGCTGCAGTGGATCAGTTTGAACTGAAAAGCATCATGTATGCTTGGTGCTCTTAGGGCAAGAATTTCAGTGTTGACAACTGTCATTGGACAAGAGGTAAATTTTTAGGCTCAGTTTGAATAGTGTACCTCTTTTTGAAGGAAGTCTGGTTTTTTTTAGGAAAAAAAGGAATTTGCAATATGGGCAGACTTACTGTGATTAAGCTTGCATGTCTATGTTAATATTTCCATTACTGCACTTTTATGGAGAGGCACAGAATAGTTGTGCCTTCAACAGCTGTGATAGAGCTCAGCAGGGATGACTTTTGGTATGAACTGCCTGAATGCTGGAGAAGGTTCAGGAAAACCAATTCTTGTTTTATTTGTCTTTCACAGATAATTTGCTAAGGCAAAGTAGCCTATCAAATGTGTAAACATCCATCCAGTGACATACTGAGTTTCAAAGGAAGCTAGAGAATTGGATTTGTTTAGTTTTCTGCACATGTGCACTAATTCAGTGAATATAAGCAGATATTCTAATTCCAGCGTATCTTGTCTCCACTTAAATACGTGTGTATGTGTTTGTACACATTGCAAACACATGTTTATAATTGTATTGCAAATCTAAGAAAAAAAAGAAGCCTGACTGAAAAAATCAGTTCTCATTAATGTATGTGAAGTGGTAGCAAGGAAAAACACTGACTTTTCAAACTACTGTTTGTATATGGGGTTTTTTCATTTCAACTTGTGCTGAATGTGGGCAAATTTACATTTAAGAAATCAAAGAATAACAGAACTAAACCCAGCTGTTTGTTTTCTTGTTGTGCAGAACTCCTTATCTCCATGTGATACAGCTTTCTCTGTTCTCTCCTAGGTGTAAGAATCACTGTAGCTATCAAACTTAAGGGTGTTCCCTTTTACATCTTTTATGAAGTATTAATGACAAGCGAGATAAAGTACCTGTGTATATGTTTTGTTTTGTTTTTTTAACTTCTGGTATTCATGCAGTGAATGCATGAATGCCCATGCAGTGTAAGGAGTGCGTAGATTAGGAGTTGAACTACTAGCTTTATTCCTAGACATGTTGGTGTAGAATACAACCTAAGGAAAGAACTACCATCTCTTCCTACATGTGAATATTCACATATGCATATGGGATCTCTGTACAGTATTAAAAAAAGCCTAAATATTTGAAGTAGTTGTGTTCAAGATTTGTAGAGTGTATCTTATGGTCAGTTACGATAAAGAGTCAGAGTTTGCAAATCAGTATATATGTTGAAAAATGTATCTCCGCTCACTTAGATTGCTGGAAACTTTTGCATGATTTCCTGCTGGAAAGCTTTTTGTGATTGACCTTTCTCAATTTTTTTTCCATTCACCAGACTAATGTACATGCACAGGGCAAGCCCTTCTTTTGCAGTTATAGCAGTGAAACTGTGAACTAAGAGGCTAAGCAATGTCTACTTGTGTCTGGATAAATCTTACACAAAATGTTGTGGGTGGCTCAAACAGGAAATGGAGTGATCCCATGGGAAGTTTTCTTGCAGGAATTGCTACAAGTGAATCTCAATTTTTACAAGTCTTCAGGAAGTGAAGTCTGTCATTCTTGCATTAAATAAGAATTTTGAGGATATGATGTAATCTGTAGGCTGAAAGGCCTCCAGATAAATGGACTTTTGGTGTGATGTTGCATAGAAGTTATCCTAATTCCACGAAGATGTTTGGAAGGGAGTGGTGAGACTTAGAGGATTTCCTGTGTAGATTTTTATTTTAGAAGACAACACTTTCTTTTGATGCCTGTCTGTTATTGAGCCCTTACTGAGGTGTATGTATTGTCAAATTATTTGATTGCTTCTTTGATAGAAATGTTTCAGCTTTTATGTTATAACTAGAAATTCAAAGCACAGGGTAGGTTGCAATTACTTTGCTCTCCAAAACAGATTTATTGGTGCTTCTTTTTTTTACTCTGAACAGGCACATACAGTCTTCCTACAGTATTGTCTTGTTCTCATACCCAGCCTTTTTTCTTTAGCTTCCAAGTTCTTCTGCAAAGAGAACAGCATATATGTATATACATGTCTTTTATATGCCTATATTGAGATTGAAGGGGTTTGTTCAGTTTGCAGAGGAGGCTTTTAAATGGGAAGAAGAAATTTGTCATAACTGTCTGCTTCCTCTCTGTGGCACTGTAGGGAGCTCAGCAGGGGAGTCAGTCGTCACCAAAACAGAAGTCAACCAGAGCGGGGAGTCCTTGCTACCAGAAACAGCTCAGCTGTTGTCTTCGCTCTCTTCACTTCAGCCCAAGATATTTGCACAACTTCAGGTACAGTCAAGTTGTTTACAGAACTTCAAATGTTCTGCGCTGGGAATGCTGAAGGCGAGCTGAGAACCGCAAGTTCCCTCTCAGCTAATGATTCCAAACACTGGCTAGGTAACACGGACTTTGAAATAGCTGTCAACTCTTACTTTGGCCTCTCTTGCATGTCACATTTAGCATATAGCTGTGGTGCAGGGGATCCCACTACCATCTTTCGACACTCTGAAGTTAGGGTCTCTTGTGAAGGCAAAACCAAGAAGATGAAGGTAGTGGGCTTCTGCCTCAAACCAAGCAGCTATTCATTTTCCACATGGTCCAGTTATTTCGTGATGAAAATGTTGCAAAACTGAGGGGAGATAAGTCAGTCTTACTCCTTTTAAATCCTCCTCCAGCCTCTTAAGAAAATATGTTAAAATCCTAAAACTGCTCCCAGATCAGATCTGTAAACTTTCAGGATGAAAGGCTGAAGAGTGGGAATAAGAACGTCATGCTAAAAGAGCTTCTTCTAAAGCTCGTCTCCCTTCAAAGCTGGCTTTCTTTTAGCCATCTTCCCTAACTACTTCTTTGAAAAGGTATCTTCATACTTCCTGAACCCCAATGAAATGCATGATCTCTTCCCTAGAAATACAGTCTGCAGTAAGGTGCTGTTCTACTCTCTTTCTGAAGACAGCCTGGCTCCACCTCACTCTTTTTAAAGCAGCATGCTTAGATTTAGTGCCCGCCTCTTGTGGGAATGGGCAGTATTGGGGAATGATTTGAAACGGAATATCAATCCAAAATTAGAGCTTTGTGATCATTAAGTAGTCTTCTAGAAGCTGCTGGATACCATTGTCCTAATTGTTTTCTAATACAACTTTAGCCTAGGGTTGCTGGGATTGACTGTTCAAAAGAGATGATGTATAGGAAGTCAGAAGCTATCCAGTTCCAGCATTGCAAAATACATGCCATTAAATGCAAATTCCTCCTGCTGTAAATACTGGTATGTTAGTACTTCTGCCTTCTCTTTCACAGGGATTACAGCTGCAGTCAACTTTTACCTCCACAAATGGATCAACAGCCCTGATAGCTGTAAATAACCATTCCCCTCCCAGCCCTGCAAGTCTCCTGGATTCCATAGGGAGTGCAATAACCAACCATTCTCTAGTACTTAGTCAGGGACACAGTCTGCAAGCAGGTGCTGGCCTAACACAGCATAGCGCTGCTGCCTCTGCTTTTGGGACTCCGCCTAGCTCTGATCAGAGTCTGGTCACCATGGGCCAGTTGGTAGCAGTTGGAGGGGTAGATGACTCCAGAAGGCTAGAAGGAGGAGTCCATCAAATTCTCTTGGGAGACGTACAGACTATTCCAGTACGGATTGTGGACAGCCATCCAGCACTTAGTAAGTTGCAGTCTTCCCAATAATATGTAAATATAGAAAATATGGTGGATTTTGTTCTGTGTGTCTTGAAGAAAGGAGAAATGTGTTGATAATGGGGAACTCCGGCATAGACTTGTTTCAGCTGATTCTAGTTAGTTTTTACTGTGAAAACATGCTGACTGTAAAAAAAACAAACAAACAACCCCCCTCCCCAACCCCCCCCAAGCCCAAAACTTAGTTTTTGCTGTAAAAAGATGACTTCGTTAAACTGCTTATCACTCTTTGACCAAATACCAACTTATTTGAGGAACACAATATTTTTGCCAAAAGTCCTAATATTTAGCTAAAATTATGATCTTCAAAATAATTTTTTTAAAGGAAAAATAAGAATAGAAAATAGCCAATATTGAATCTAGTTAGAACTCTTTGGAAAGAAATGTGGGTTTTTTCATGACTTCTTTCTTTGCACCATCCCAGCAGATTTCTGAATTTTTTTAATAAACTTTTACTGGGATCCTGTAGTCATCAATATGCTTTAGCAGTGAACAGTTGGAGTTGTTTGAAATTCCAAGCAATTACATACTTCTGTTTGAAAATACTTTTTAAAAAATACACAATAAACACCATAAATAGCTTTCTATCAAAATAGAAGGCTCCTCAAAACCATTGTTATCAAATATAGATACAGTCTTTGAATTCTCAGCCATGGAACCTGATTGAGAATGAAAGCTTGCATTCTCAAAGAATGATTTCTAATTCTTGGTGAAGAAGACCTGTTAGATATGGAGCTTATATAGATCAGTGCAACATATCCTTTTGACTTTCCAGAGAGTCTGAAATGTTAGCTGTGCAATGCTTTATTATTTCTATATTATAATTGTGTAATATTCTGAAAATGGAAATATAAGACTACATGAAGAAATAAAAAGAAAATAAAGGTTACATGAGGAAATATACTGAAATTCATACATGTTAAAGTAATATTGGGATATTTTACTGTGGCAGTATTGTCAAAGTTAAATTTAAGGGGTTTTCTGCCTGCTGTACTCAAATGTTTGTGTAACTTTTATAATTGAATTTGACTAATCTGAGAAATTCTTTTTTCATTTAGGGTAAAAGAATTTCAGAGAGGTTATCAAATGCACCTCCTCCATTCAGTTGTTTAACCCATTTTTTCAATCTAGATGTTGATGCCTCTCAAAAATTTTTGTAAATGATGAGTATTGTAAGTGAATTTTTAAAGAACTACTATTTTACACAAAAGAAATGTAGTAAAATATAAAATTCTATAACTGCAAGGACTAAACTCACTGTTCCTTCGGGAGTTCCTTCTTTTCTGCTCAAGGTCTCAGTCTATCATCACCAGCCTGAATTTGGAAATTGTGAGAATATCGGTGCCATTCCTAAGCTATGTGGAGGAGTTGCCTATAAAATGCACAGATACTTTTTTTTTTTTCCCAGAGGCAAGTTCTTTGTCTGGAGAGAAGGAGGAAAAAAAACAGTCTAGACTGAAGAGAGAATAATGTTACAGGGCTTATTTGGAGGAAACACCATATACTTGAATTTAGCAGTTCAGTCAGTGTGTATTTCAAGATATTTTTTTTTCTCCTGTGTGCGTGCATACACTGATGCACATGCACAATTGGTTAAAATTATCCTGTATGTTCTGGATTTTCCTCTTGTCCAAGTGCTAACTTAAGAATAAGCTATTTCC